ACTTGGAATACTGCATCCAGTTTTGGTCACCACGATGTAAAAAAGATGTTGAGACTCTAGAAAGAGTACAGAGAAGAGCAACAAAGATGATTAGGGGACTGGAGGCTAAAACATACAAGGAACGGTTGCTGGAATTGGGTATGTCTAGTTTAATGAAGAGAAGGACGAGGGGGGACATGATAGCAGTGTTCCAATATCTCAGGGGCTGCCACAAAGAAGAGGGAGTCAAGCTATTCTCCAAAGCGCCGGAAGGCAGAACAAGAAGCAACGGATGGAAACTAATCAAGGAGAGAAGCAACCTAGAACTAAGGAGAAACTTCCTGACAGTTAGAACAATTAACCAGTGGAACAACCTGCCTCCAGAAGCAGTGAATGCTCCAACACTGGAAGTTGTTAAAAAGAGACTGGACAGCCATTTGTCAGAAATGGTATAGGGTTTCCTGCCTGAGCAGGGGGTTGGACTAGATGACCTCAAAGGTCCCTTCCAACTTTATTATTATTATTATTAATTCCTGAGACAGCATGGGGCTGTAGTTGCCCTAGATAGAAGATGATGGACTCAGAGGTATACTTTCCAACAAAGAGATGCTGAAGGCATTTTGCTCTTTTTTTTTATTCCATTCAATCGAGTCAGATTCTCAGAGATTGCCTGGACTAGTCCCTATGGTTTCCTTGGCGAGGCTTTTCAGAAATGGTTTGCCATTGCCACCTTCCTAGGGCTGAGACAAAATGACTGGCCCCAGGTCGCTCAGCTGGCTTTGTGTATGAAGAGGGACTAGAGCAGTGGTTCTCAACCTGTGGGTCGGGACCCCATTTGGGGTCGATCGACCATTTCACGGGGGTCGCCAAGCAAGGCTGTCTGCCATTTTTTTGTCCGCCATTTTTTTTGTCCGCCATTTTTTCCCCTTTTCCGGCGGGTGCCTTACCTCCCTTGGGCTGGGCCAGCTGGTGGTCGGCCTGCTCCGTCTCTGCTGCTTGCCAGCTACGCCTCGGCCGGCGCAGGGAGCGGAACCACGCATGCACGGCGCTCCCGGGCAGGGAAAGTCCTCGACTTACGACCGGTTGGGTAGTCCTCGACTTACGACCGGTTTAGTCCTCGACCTACGACCGGTTTAGTCCTCGACTTACGACCGGTTTAGTCCTCGACTTACGACCGGTTGGGGTCGCGGCATTAAAAAGGTTGAGAACCACTGGACTAGAGCACATTGTCTTCCAGTTTCTAGTCTGCTGCATTAATCGCTACACCAAAATGGTTCTCATTTTGCTTTTACATCAACCAAAAAAAATAATAATGGGTGGTGGTGGTAGAGGGAACAATCTTCTAAAAATGTAAATGTCCAATAGGGCAGGGAGACGGGTGAACCGATTCATATGGCATTTGCTTTTTCAGGGATCATTTGGAACCCCAGATTTACATATTTGGCTATTTAACTGAACAAATTCTGCTCAAAGGAAAAAACTTTGGTCTGTAGGGAGAACTCTGAAATAATCCCTCTCCCCAATTTAACCCCTAATACACATATACATATTTTTTTGTGCATTCTCTTTATCCTATGGCTGTGTCTCTCTCTTTGTATCTCCTCCCATTGATTCAGAAGAGGATGACAAAGAAAGCTTATGTGGAGAGAATGCCAGGGCTCTGGCACCGCCTGGTATGCTGCACAGCTATCCTGCAATTTCTCTCTGTCTCTCTCTGTCTCTCTCTCTCCCTCTCTCTCTCTCTCTCACCCACCCACCCACACATACACACACACTCACAGTGGGTCTGCCATTCTGGCAGCATTCACACCCAAGAGAAATATAGATATCTTCCACCCAGGAAACCACCGCTTTGTGCCAGGAATTTCAGAAGCAGATGGGAACACAAACCCTTCCTTTTTTTTTATTGGTCCTGCACCTTTCCAAAAAACAAGCTTTTGAATTTTAATTATTTTAGCAAAATTGGAGGAAATGGTTATTTCCTGTCTTCCGCTATCTTCTCTCCCTCCCCATTCAAATAACACCACAGATAAATTCGAGGATGAGGGTGGAGGGTAGCCTCAATCTGCTGGGAGTGAAGGGGGTAATTGGATTGATAAATGTTTTGGGAGAAAAGAGAAAGAAAGCCTTAAGAGTCCACTTCAAAACAGCTCCGTAAAACCACACGTCTTTGGCTATTGTTTACCACCCTTTAACTTGGTCTGCCTTCAAGAAGAAGTACCAAAACTGGCCCTGTCTTCAGAAAGATGAGGTCACTGCCTCAGACAACAGACGCTAAGGAGGTGGCCAGCTGTGAGGGGAGCCTTCTGTCTGTTCTTCCTGAATATCAAGCTGTTCCTCATAAACAGAGCCATGGATGCTTCACCCTTTCTTCTGAGCCCGCTAAACTACTCTGCTGCAAGTGTGGAAATGATACTATCCCATGGCAAATGTTGAAGCAACCCTCCATGGCCAATCCTGCTCTTCTCTATATGGCACGAGAACGTCAAACATCAGGAAAAAGGTTTTGGGAAGGTAGAATAGTACCTGAGTGGTATCTCATGTAGGTTTGTTGCAGGCAACATGGTGGTTAAGAACATGAGAGGGGCATCGACCATGGTGATTGGGGAAGATGGCTGGTTTCATGACTTTACACATTGTGCTAATCGAGGGCTGTTTCACCACATTAATCAGTAGGCTTTGGCAATTATTTGCAAGGCATTTTAAACTCAAACTACAATTTTCATGTTGTCTATGCTATTAGTAGATTTCAGTCTGCATGTAATTGTATTTATGTATCCATTTGTATGATTATAAGTCTGCAGTTATAATCCCTATAAGTACATCTATGACTTGAAAGAAGGCCCCACATTTCTCCTGAATGTAACATCCTTAGCAAGCAAATCCATGAAAAGAGATTACAATATTCCAGGTTAGAATGTGGCTAATATCTAGAACAGGGGTAGGCAACCTTGGCTCTTTTATGACTTGTGGACTTCAACTCCCAGAATTCCTGAGCCAGCCGGCTCAGGAATTCTGGGAGTTGAAGTCCACAAGTCATAAAAGAGCCAAGGTTGCCTACCCCTGACCTAGAAAAAACTACAGGTAGTTTTCGACTTACGATCACAATTGAGGTTAAAATTTCTGTTGCGGAGTGAGACAGCTGTTAAATACGTTTTGCCCCGTTTTGCCACCTTTCTTGCCACAGTTGTTAAGTGAATCACTGCAGTTCTTAAGTTAGTCACACGGTTGCTAAGTGAATCTGGCTTCCCCATTGACTTTGCTTGTCAGAAGGTCGCAAAAGTTGATCACATGACCCCGGGACACTGCAACCCTCATAAATATGAGTCAGTTGCCAAGTGGCTGAATTTTGATCACGTGACCATGGGGATGCTACAATGGTCGTTAGGTGTGAAAATCAGTCAGAAGTCACTTTTTTCAGTGCTGTTGTAACTTCGAGTGGTCACTAAATGAACCGTTGTAAGTCGAGGACTACCTGCATTTCACTCTGGCAGGTAAATATCCAGGGTTCCATTTGCAAGTGGGAGGTGATCTGCAAATAAATACCTACAAGTATTTTTTGTTCTCATAGACATCGTGGAGTTTGAGTACGTGAGGGTGTTCAATCAACTTTAGAATGGCAATTTCCCGTTCCACCTGCAATGGAAGAAAAAAGAGAGAAAGTGTTTGTGTGTCTGTGACAATTTGCCGTGCTCAACTTGCCACAGCCAACGTGCCGCAGCCATGTAGCCACAGCCAACTCACCGTGAGACGCTCCAGGACAAGAGTTACACTAATATCAAAGAAATGGTGGAATAGAATCATTAAAGAAGGGATGCAAAAACAGGGACAAAATAAAATGTGAATGACAAAAATTAAAATATTTTTTTATTTATTTTAAATAGTTACATTGAATTGTTAAATTGCCCCGCCAGGGCAAGTTGTCCCACGATGAGTTGGCCATGGCGAGTTGGCTGCAGCGATTTGTCCCTTTCCGAGTGTTTATATGTACAGGGATAAGAGGAGTCACAGTGAGGTGGGTGGAATATAAATTTAATAAATAAATCAATAAAATAAAATTCTCTTTGTGTCCTAGGATGCAGAGCTCGAAGCAGATGGAGACAAGGATTTTTCCCATTGGCTCATATTCATGTCACTTATTCCCTACTACATTATTTTGCTGTTTTCTTCATATGCCAGGTTTTTTCTTTCTTTCCCTGGTTTTATGATAATTTCTTTGAATCATGAGTGGCTGTGTTGTCCTGCCAGGTGATGCATTCATCAAGCCTGTGAAACCACAATATCCTGAAGGAATAGTTACAGACACGTATCACAGAAGGTGTCCCCTGAAGCTTGTCATCGCCTCTCTCTAAGCATGACACAAAACATGGCCCAGGTTTTTTTTTTTAAATAAAACCATGTCCTCTTACCCACAACCCACAGCTGAAGCAGCGTAAAGTTGCTTTAGTTTTAAAGTCATTTTCCCTCTCTTCTCCCAATATACTGTAATTGGCAGGCAATATGCTTCATCCGTGCCTCACTGGGAGCATGGTCACTGACGCAGACAGGGGTAAGATTTCCCCACCTATTGGTCACTTCAGGCTGCTTCACCAGGCCCCTTCCTTTGGTCACCGCCATTCATGGCCATTGCTTCCTGCCTCAGCTCTAGAAGAGAATAGATCAGGGGTGTCAAACTCACAACGTCACGTGACGTGTCGCGACATATCACGACTTTTTTGCCATTGCCAATGGGGTGGGCGTGGTTTCGCTATGATGCATCCGGCCCGCAGACTGGCAGTTTGACACCCCTGGAATAGACTATAGGTAGTCCTCAATTTATGGCCACAATTGAGTCCCAAATTTCTGTTGTTAAGTAAGACATTTGTTAAGTGAGTTTTGCCCTATTTTATGATCTTTCTTGCTACAGTTATTAAGGGAATCACTGCAGTTGGTTTCCCCATTGATTTTACTTGTCAGAAGTTTGCAAAGGGCGATCTCATGACTTGGGACCCAGCAACGGTCCTAAATATGAACCAGTTGCCAAGCATCTGAATTTTGATCATGTGACCATGGGGATGCTGCAACGGTCGTAAGTGTGGAAAATGGTCATAAATTTTTTTTTCTGCGCCATTGTAACTTCAAACAATCACTAAATGAATGGTTGTAAGTCGAGGACCACCTGTACAGTTTCACACCCTGCTGCGATAAAGTTGCTATTTGAGGCAGGTTTTAAAGCTTTCTTGAGGTTTTTAAAATTACTACTGTGTATCAAAAACAAGTGATATGTGCTGATTCTTCAATACGTGTTATATGGTGGATATTTATACCTTTCGATGGTTAGGACAGTTATAGAACTCTTTAAAGAGCAAGTGGCTGTTGCTTTGATTTTGGTCTTCAGTGTTGATTTTACTTCGCAAAAGGTGATCTCATGACTTGGGACCCAGCAATGGTCATAAATATGAACCAGTTGCCAAGTATCTGAATTTTGATCACATGATGATGGGGATGCTGCAAAGGTCACAAGTGTGAAAAACAGTCGTAAGTCACTTTTTTCAGTGCCGTTGTAACCTTGAATGGTCACTAAATGGACTGTTGTAAGTCGAGGATTAGCTGTATGTTTTATTTGAACCATTCCTGACTGGTGCTTGACAGGTCCCACCTAAGATCCTTACAAGCAGAGTTTAGCACCAGGCTTGGGGCGAGGAGGAGCAAGGTCTTCCTTCACAAAGAGAAATGGCAGATGTGGGGGGGGGGGGGAGAGATCTGCCTAAACCCCAAGGGAGCAAGACCCAAAAGGAAGTACAGGTAGTCCTCGGCTTACGACCACAATTGAGCCCCCAAATTTCTGTTGCTAAGAGAAATATTGGTTAAGTGAATTTTGCCCCATCTTACGACCTCTCTTGATACCGTTGTTAAATGAATCGCTGCACTTGTTAAATTAGTACTACGGTTGCTAAGCGAATTTGGCTTCCCCATTGACAATCCTTGTGAGAAGGTCACAAAAGCTGATCGCGTGATCCTGGGACACTGCAACCGTCATCAATTTGAGTCAGTTGCCAACCATCCAAATCTTGATCACATGGCCATGGGGATGCTGCAACGGTCATAAGTGTGAAAAATGGTCATGTCAGGGTTTTCTTAATGCCATTGTAACTTTTAACGGCCACTAAATGAACTATTGTAATTTGAGGGATACCTGTACTTTTCATGATATGCTTACTGAGCAAGAATTATTCGGAAGACCTGCCTAGATGTTGCCTAGACCTTCATTGTTGATGGGGTCATTTTTTAATTCTTCCTTCTCCAACTACTACTAAAATGGAGAAACCTTATTTACAACTAAACTGTAAACTTATAGTGGAAAAAATTTATGAAGCTACTGAAGAAGTATGCGCTAAAATGAAAGAGATTATTACAGAAATAAGAGCCAGAAGCCTTACTCCAAATTCTCCAAACCTTCAAATTGAGCTCCAGACCTCATCTGACTATGCTATAAATCAAAATATACCAGAAGAAGAACTAATTGAGATTAAAGAGGAATCTATTTTATCTTGCAAGCATTCCATCCATATTCTCGAGGATCAGAAGAACCAAAGATTGAGACTGGAACTTTTGAAGCAACGAGGGTTTAATGACAAAAGAGCCACATGCCCATTACAGAGGACGGGGTGTTTTCTATTGACTCAAATGATATTACAAGCGACAAAGGGAGATCTACTTGCTGAGATAGAAGCTTTGTTATGGAAACCGGCCTGGCACAAAAAGAAAGCCAGAATAAGACTGAACAGAGAAATTTAAAACTATATGTAATGGATTAAAAGGCACTGTAGAAATATGGATTGATTTAAGGTTTAAGACTTAGAGTTAGAAGCGACAGAAAAATTGGTGATTACTAGAATATATATGTTAAATAGATTAAGAATGTAATTTTTGGAATAATAGGTTTATTTGTATGAAAACTATTTTGTAATGGAATGAATGAAAATGGAAGAGGTTTTATAGTGATTTGGATTGATTTAATAATTAATTGAGTATGTTAATTTAGTAAGATGATGCTTTGTGTAATAATATGGGTGTTTCTAGATATGATAACTATTTGGACGAGATNTGAAATGGTTTAAGGTTTGGTATTATTTTGTTTTGTTATAGAGATAGACTGATTGATGGATGGTATATGTATAGGGTAGAGTTATATTTTATTTTAATTAGGATAAATATTGAGTAGTGGAAGAAGAAATAAGAGAGATTTGTGATAAAATTAAGGATTTAGGAGATTAAGAACTAGAATACATCTGGAAGGGATACCCAAAGTGATAATATGTTTATTTAAGGTTAAAGTGGATTATGGTAATTATAAATTAATAAAGTTTAAAAACAGGATTAGGAGTTATAGAAATTTAATGTAAAAATGGATTATTTTAAATATATTATATTATTTGAGGGAAATAGAGAGGGAATATTTAATGTATTTACTTGGGTTATTTTATATGGATTTATTGTTGGATATTTGACTACCCCAGCACCACGGTGTGTCCCGAGCACTTTGTTGTAAGAGTTAAAAAACTAATAAAATTTGTTTTTTTTAAAAAAAAGAATTATTCGGAAGACCTGCCTAGATGTTGCCTAGACCTCTGTTGTTGATGGGGTCATTTTTTTATTCTTCCTTCAGTCATTCAGTTTGTATTTTTTAGGTTTTTATGATATTTATTGCAATATTTTTTAAAATATTTGTATTTATTATTATTTTTATTTGTAAACAAGCCAGAGTCCCGCATATATAAGGAGTGGTGCATGTAAGAGATGACTAGGCAGAGCCTGAATGCAGAATCAAATTTGTCATCCTTGTGCAACCACAAGAGACCTAAGTCCACCATCACCACCCCCCCATGAATTCTGTTAACTCTTACCTAGCGCCAATTTGCCTTGATCATTAGTAGATCAGATTCTTGCATACATATAGCATGTAATAAACTTTTAGTGCTTTGAACTCAACTCCTGTTCCTAGTTACTTGTGCCTGACAGGCTATATAGAAATTTGATGAATAGAATAGAATAGAATAGAATAGAATAGAATAGAATAGAATAGAATAGAATAGAATAGAATAGAATAGAATAGAATAGAATAGAATAGAGGAAGGGAAGGGAAGGGAAGGGAAGGGAAGGGGGGAAGGGAAGGGGAGAAGAGAAGAGAAGAGAAGAGAAGAGAAGAGAAGAGAAGAGAAGAGAAGAGAAGAGAAGAGAAGAGAAGAGAAGAGAAGAGTCTTTATTGGGCAAGTGTGATTAGATACACGAGGAATTTGTCTTTGGTGCATAAGCTCTCAGTATACATACAAGCAACAGAGTCATAAATCATAAGATGCAATCATAAATTATAAGATACAACCAACAAAGTGATAGTCATAAGATGCCAATAGAAGCAGATAATAGGAAAGATGAGAAGGATAATAGTAATACAGTCCTACTACATGGTTAGATATCCTTAGGCATGAGACAGTGCTGTGGGAGTTAGGTGTTCAGCAGAGTGATGGCATGGGGGAAAAAACTCTTTGTGTCTAGTTGTTTTGGCATGCAATGCCCTATAGTGGCCTCCTGAGGGGAGAAGTTGAAAGGTTTTGTCCAGGATGTGATATACAGTAGATAGATAGATTAGATAGATAGATAGATAGATAGATAGATAGATAGATAGATAGATAGATAGATAGATAGATAGATAGATAGATAGATAGATAGATAGATAGATAGATAGATAGATAGATAGATAGATGGATAGATGGATAGATGGATAGATGGATAGATGGATAGACGGACGGACGGACGGACGGACGGACGGACGGACGGACGGACGGACAGACAGACAGAAAATAAATAAAATCACTGTTTTTATATGTTCATTTTTCATTGTTGCGTGCCACCCAGAGTCACCTTGGGTAAGATGAGTAGCTATATAAATTTGATAAATAAATAAATAAATAAAATTGAGGTTTGGAAAACTATTTCCTTGGTCTATCTACTTTGCATAAACAGTGCTTCCCTTGCAATCTCTGGGTCCCTCAGGCTAGACTAATACTGGTATTAATTCCACCTACTCTTCCTTCATTTTAAGTTCAATTCTTTTTATAGTTTTTATGTTTTAATAATTATTACAATAATGATAGTCTAATATTTTTAATGAACTTTTTAGATTTGTTGTACACCCCATAGAGTAAATTTTGTGGGATGGGTGGCTATATAAATTTGATAAACAAACAAACAGGAAACAAATGGAAGCAATTTATGCATGCAAACTGCCTATTCCCTTGAGTGGTCTTTTAATCAGGCAGGGATATTGTAGCATGCTGGATCAGGTACTGGTCTTGATTGCATCCTTTAGGATTAAAAATTCATCTGGAAGTAAATCTAAATCCCATCACTGGGAGGGGAAAAGTCTAGTGTAATCAAAAGCAGACTACTAACATTTTCTGTATGAATAGTGAACAGCCATCACAGAATAGCACATGTGCCACACAAGTAATCATGTCTCATAAACAGTTATTATAACAAAGAAGCTGGGTGTTGGGTTATGTAGTCTTAGTGTGTTAATCTTACTCAAATGTATGGGATGTTGAGATTTAGCTATGGACTCTAGAGTAGAGTACCATACTCCAAAAGCACCCCTGGAAAAAGAAAAAGAAAAAGAAAAAGAAAAGGGGGGAAAAGAAAAAAAAAGGGGGGGGGAGGAAAGGAAAGGAAAGGAAAGGGAAAGGAAAGAAAAAGAAGAAGAAGCTGAGTTATCTAACTACAACTGCACCCAATCGTTTCCAAATATGAGGGCCACACACGCCCTACGCACGGTCACTCATGCCCTTGTCACCTCCCGCCTGGACTACTGTAATGCTCTCTACATGGGGCTCCCCTTGAGGAGCACCCGGAGGCTCCAGCTAGTCCAAAATGCGGCCGCGCGGGCGGTGTTGGGAGGGACTCGACGCTCCCATATAACACCGCTGCTGCGCGAGCTGCATTGGCTGCCTGTGGCCTT